AGCTCCACTCCGGAGACTGATGTGCCGAGAGTACCACTCCCGAAGCTGTGGGGAAGAGGGCGGCTCCCTCCGTGGTGGGGAAACACGAGTACCAACTCCAGTAGCACCACGAGCCCGAGACGCACCCCGCCGGAAGCTGCAGTACCGTGAGTACCACTCACGTAGCTGCTGCGAAGAGGGAGGTCCTCCAGGCGCCTCACAGTCAACTGCAACACCACCAGGCTCAGCACCCCCAGACTCAGCAACTCCAGGCGTAGCACCCCCAGACCCAGCACCCCCAGGCGCAGCACCCCCAGAACCAGCACCCCCAGGCTCAGCACCCCCAGTCTCAGCACCCCCAGACTCAGCACCCCTCGGCTCCGCCCGCACAGGCTCTGCACGCTCAGGCTCCGCACGCTCAGGCTCAGCACCTCTAGCAGGACTTGAGTCGACAGCTACCTCGGCAGGCTCAACCGGGTCTACCTGAGAGACACCTGAGGGAGCGGCACCCTGAGGAGGAAGGGGGTCTACCACTGCAGCACCTGGCACGAGGAAGAGAGGCCGGGGAGGGAGCGGGGCAGTGCGGTAGGGGAAGAGGCGGTAGAAGGGCACAGACTCGTCAAAAGTGCCGTCCTGAGAGGGGAAGACGCAGTGGGAGGCGGGGTGGTAAAACTGCCAGCCAGACGCATCCGGGACAAAGCCAAGAAAGACACAGGGAGCAGTGCGGGAGGAGAGCTTGTCCGCAGACGTGTCGCGAACAAAAGCTCGGGATCCCCAGACACGGAAGCGTGACGCATCGCCAACCTCCCCCGTCCACAGCAGTGTGGGCGAGGTCTCCGGAGCGGAGACACGGGGCCAGAGGTTGAGCTGATGCGCAGCGTACCGGACCGCAAACGGCCACAGAAAGTGGGGGGCAGCCGCGTGGACTAAGGAGGTACGAGCGACCTCCATGACCAAGCTAATGCGGCGCTCAGCAACCCCATTCTGCTATGGAGAGGCCGGAAGCGTGAACGACTGGCGAATGCCGTGCTCTGCACAGTAGGCTGCCAAGAGGTCGGAGGAGAACTCGCCACCTCTGTCAGAGTGCAAGCGCAGGACAGGAAACTCCGAGCGAAAACGCTCTCGCAGCTGAAGACGTGCTCTGCTGATCCAAGGGATCAGAACATCAGGGACTTCACCCTTGGTGCGCAAGGGGAAGACCGTGGTGTAGCGCGAGTAGTCGTCAACGACGATCAAGAAGTACCTCTCCTGGCCCTGACCATGGACGCGGGCTGGGCCCCACACGTCCATGTCAAGCGTCTGCAAAGGAGCTGTCGTCGGGGGGAACGAGGATGAGTGAGGGGCAGCGCGCTGCCGCCCCTCGACACAGGGAAGACAAGGAGGAGCAAGGGAGGGTGGGAGGGGAGGGAGTACCCGAGGAAGACCAGAGACAAGGTACTGGGAGTGCATGCCCCGAAGGCGCTGCACTGACGGGTGACCAAGTCGGTGGTGCCAGAGGACAGTCTTGTGCGCTAGAGAGCAACACGAGCAGGGGGCAGATAGCTGACCTGACGCAGACGCAGACGCAGACGCAGACGCCGCTACCTGAGGGGACTCAGTGGTCAGTGTGTACAGGTCCGACCCCGGGTGCCGAGTGAAGGTAGCCAGGTGACGGCCCGTCCGAGCACACGTGCAGTGTGTCACACGCTCGTAGGCAGGGGTGAACTGGTGAACACCTCCATCTTGAAGCGCACAACCCGCCAACAAGTTCGTAGAGAACGAGGGGAGGTGAAGACCTGACAGTGTGCCCGACGGGATAGCAGGACAAGGAAGGACAGTGGAGGAGGTCGCAATGACCGGACCCCCAGAGGGGTCAGCAAGCGAGACAGCGACTGGTCGAGCAAGGGGCTCAAGAGCAGTGCGGTCACGAAAGAAACAGCGCGAATCGCCTGAGTCTAGAGTGAAGGTGTGCAGTGCCTCAGTGGACTCAGTAGTACCTGGGGTGGCGGACACACAAGCACCTAGAGCAGTAGCCTCACTAGCACCTGGGGCAGCAGACACGCGAGCACCTAGGGCTGCAGCCTCACTCGTGCGGATGCCTGGGTCAGGCGGAACACACAGGTACTGGTCCTCCTCTCCACTAATAGTCAATGCATACATGGCTTTGAGAATAACATCAAAATCAAGAGCATAGATATCGATATCCTTCTTGAGGAGATCAGCCCACTGAGGGAGCTCAGGAGCGTCAGGAAACTGAGTACGCCACGCGTCATCTAGGCGAGAGAAGCAGCGCTACGCAGTGTGCGCCCTCCCGCACGTCTGTCCCTTGCGGCGACCAGTGCGGATGACGTACGTGCAGCTAAGGCTACCCCCCCCACCCCCGTGCTGTAAGTACCACTCACGAAGCTCCTGGGAGGACTGAGGGTGCTGCGCACTCTGGCCAGTGCCAGAGCCTCCACGACCACCACCACCGCCTCCACCACGACCACCACCGCCTCTGCCGCCTCCACGTCCACTGCCACCACCACCACCGCCCCCACCCCGGCCACCTCCGCCGCCGCTGCCTCCACCACCCCCATCGCTGCCACTAGCCCCTCCAGCCCCGCCACCACCCCGACCGCCGCCGCCACCCCCACCACCGCCTCCCCCGCCGTCACCCCCACCGCCCTTGCCTCCCCTGCCCTTGCCGCTGCGGCGCCCGCTGGGAGCGGACGCAGAGCCGACCTGCTTAGCACCAAGGAGGTCGACAGCAGCAGCAGAGGCGACAGAGGGGAGCAGGGGGGAGGGGGAACACCCCTCGAAGAAAGGGGTGCGGGGGTCGCCACGAGAGGCACCTACAGCTACAATACTCTTCTCAGCTGCAAGTAGTTCCTTCTCTAGGGCGGTAATGGTGAGCTCAGTGGGGCAGCGAGCTAGGAAGTGGTCCTTGACTGTACGCAGAGTGTCAGGGAGGCGGGTGACTAGGTGGTAGAGAGTGAGCCAGAGCGGGGGAGGGTTGGAGGCAAGAAACTTAGCGGGCATGGCTGCACGGAAGCGGGCATCACTAGTGCGGAGGTGAGTGATGAGGTCAGCGACTGTCTGGAAGGCGGACAGGACGGGGAACAGGTAGGGAAGCGAGAGGCGGCCTAGTGCAGCCGAGGCCGGGGAGGAGTAGCGCGCAACTACAACAGTGTACAGGGCGTGCGCAGTCTGATGCTGGCCAAAGTGCTCGCGCTCGTCTACTGGCAAGGAGTTGCGAATAGCAAAGCGGGCATAGGCATCGCGAGTCTGCCACTGTGAGCGAGCAGTAGCAGCAGCAGTAGTAGCAGGAGTAGGGACTGTGCCTAGTGCGTGATCGTACAGCAAGATATCCTCTCTGGCAGTGAGCTGGAGGAACAGATGCAGATCATCGAGCCAGGTCTCAAACTTAATCGGGCGGCCCTCAGTATCGAACGAGAGAACTGGAGGGCTAGCCATAGCTGAAGTAGCAGTAGTAGAAGTAGCAGTAGCAGCAGCAGCAGCAGCAGCAGTAGCAGCAGCAGTAGCAGTAGCAGTAGCAGTAGTAGTAGCAGTTCAGTACTGGTGCTGCTGCTCAGGTAAGGAGGGCGCGGCTCGGCTAGGACGGTGCGGCTCGGCTAGGGCGGCGCGGCTCGGCTAGGGCGGCGCGGCTCGGCTAGGGCGGCGCGGTTCGGGTCGGGTCGCGCAGCGCGGCTCGGCCGTAGAGGGGCGAGCGCGGGAGGGGCCGTGAGAGGCAAGCGCCGGGTGCCGTTCGGGGGCCGGTCGGGGCTAGCGCGTGGCCATTCGGGGCCGTAGGAGGCTAGCGCGGGGCCTTAAGGGGCCGTGGGAGGCTAGCGCGGGGCCTGAAGGGGCCGTGGGAGGCTAGCGCGGGGCCTGACGGGGCCTTGGGAGGCTAGCGCGGGGCCTTACGGGGCCGTGGGAGGTTAGCGCGGGGGCCACACGGGGCCGTTCAAGGCTAGCGCGGGGCGACACGGGGCCGTTCGAGGCTAGCGCGGGGCCAATTGGGGCCGTAGGAGGCTAGCGCGGGGCCGTAGGTGGGCCGTTCGGGGCTAGCGCGGGGCCGTAGGGGGCCGTGAGAGGCTAGCGCGGGGCCGACGCGGGGCCTTAAGGGGCTAGCGCGGGGTCTTAAGACGGGGCCGTGAGAGGCCGTAAGGGGCGACGCGAGGGGCCGTGAGGGGCCTGAAGGGGTGACGCTAGGAACGAGGCGCACGAGGGCGCTAGGAAAAGGCGGCGCACGAGGGCGCGGCTAGCGGAAACGGTGGGCCCTAACGTTCCGGTCCTAGGTGGAACCTAGGCTCGTACTACCATGTCAGAATGAGAAACAGGAATGAATGTGACTAGAAGGAACAACAGTACAAATATGAAACCCTAAACTGGTGTACCCCCTATGGTGTGACCCACTACAGCCTGGAACCACACAAACATATAATGTTTGACAGGGGAACGGCCTTGTGCCGGTGAAGGTGGCGGGGAGCAACAAGCTCGTGTGGGCTTACTCGGAGTCTGGCAGCTTGAAGACTGTTGCCAACCATGGCGGCTCGCACAGGTATTACCGCCTCGCGCGCTCTCGCTTCTGAATGGCTCTCAATTCATAGCAGCTGTAGGCGTGCCTTCAGCCCACAGTTTTCTTTCTTCACCCTCCAAATGTGAGTTAATTTTCCTCCTCCTCGTCCCTGCCTGTTTCCCAACCCTCCAGAGGAGCCAAGACAGTTGATTTCTCTTGCGATGGCACAACCTCAGGGTCTGGTTCCGGGTCAGGCTCGGGTTCAGGCTCGGGATCAGGCTCGGGCACCGGAGCAGGCATGTGCACAGGCAACACGGGCGTGAGCGGCATGGCATGCTCTGCGTCCACACTCTGCGGCTACTCCTACCAGGCGCAGATTAAACCCGGGTATGCACCTGCAGAGCCTAACGTTTTAGAATCACGCCCTCACCCCCCTTCACTTGAGGCCACTAGAGTCACGTTTCCTGCTGATTTAATGCACTTTCGCCCCGATCCTGCAGTTCACCCTTGCTTTCTATCCCCCCTTCTGTTCTCCTATTCCATGCCCTTGTGTCCCAAGCATTCTACTCCACTGGAAGCTCCATGGAGCTCCCTCGTGCCTCTCAAAACATGTAACCCATTTTCCCTTGTACCTCCCCTCCCCACTTCTCCCCTTCTTCCACCTTCCTCTCCCCTGCGTGTTGCTGCACTGGAAGCGCGCATCCGCCTTGCAGCTGGACGTGGAGCTCAAGGCACATCACTAATCCCCTCTATTCCCCCTACCGTTTGCACTCGAACCCCATCCCCGTGCCGCTTCCTCCCCCCTTCCCCAACGTGCTGCTGCACTGGAAGCGCGCGTCCGCCACGCAGCTGGACGTGGCCGTGGAGCTCAAGAGCAGCAGCGGCGCCAGCAACGGCTGGTTCGCCCTCGGTTGGGCCTCTGGAGGAGGCATGGCTCCCGCCGATGCTATCATTGGCAACAAGGATGGGGGACTCGTCAGCTCGTACTACATCGACGGCTACACCATGTCCTCGTTAAAAGGCGGCTCGTTTGACATTGGCGGCAGCGCTGGGACCGTGACGTCTGCTTCTGGTTCCACAGTGATCCAGTGAGTGGGTTGCACATTGGTGCGAGATCGCGACATCACATAAGCTACCGTCACTGCCCACTGTTAAAGTTTAGAAGTAGAAAGTGAGAATGAAGAAAGAGGGGGGTCACTAGCAAGCAGTTGGATACAAATAGCAAACCCTAACTGGGTTGTACTCGCTATGGAGCACCCCACTACAGGCTAGATAACATAACATTCTGACACCCACCCGCCATTATATTCTTCTGTCTCCCCCACTGTCACCCACTCCCCCACCTGCTGTCTGTCTGTCTGTCTGAACGCCCTCCCTTCTTTTTCATTTCGTTGACCAATCAGGTTCTCCCGCACGGCCAACACGGGGTCTATTCCCGTGAAAATGAGCGGCGTCCATCGGATCATATGGGCGCACTCCCCCGCCAACTCCAAGACCCTTGCCTTCCACTTCACTGCTGCGTGATTCTTCCTCCATCTCTCCGTCTCCATGTCCCTTCCACCTCTCTCATCATATCAACCTTTACCTCCCTGCTCATCTCTCTCCTGAATCCTCTGTTTACATCGCTGCTTGCCTCTCTGTTTCACATTTCCGTACTTCTCATGCTGGAATAGTGCCTTTGCCACGGATCCCCCTCTGCCACTGCTCCATCCAACACGTTAGTCAAACGTCTCAAAACTCTCTCTCTCTCTCTCTCTCTCTCTCTCTCTCTCTCTCTCTCTCTCTCTCTCTCTCTCTCTCTCTCTCTCTCTCTCTCTCTCTCAAAAGGTCCTTTGTATTGATTAAGCAGGGGTACAAAAACATGCAGTGCAATCCATGATAACCTCCTTCCCTTAAGCCCCTTAGCTCACCCCTCTTCCCCCCCCCCCCTGAGTGACTCTCTCTCTCTCTCTCTCTCTCTCTCTCTCTCTCTCTCGCTCTCTCTCTCTCTCTCTCTCTCTCTCTCTCTCTCTCTCTCTCTCTCTCTCATTCTCTCTCTCCCTCCCTCACTCCCAACCCTGCCGTCTCAGTGGTCATATCTCGGTGGACTTTTCCTGTGCCACTGCGCCATCTACCGAGACTAGTCTTAAAGCAGTGGGGCCTTTGGTTTATCAGTTCATCACTTGGCTCGCCGGATCGCTCTTCGGCCTCAATAAGTCACAGATGTACACAACGCACACTGCTTCTAGCCCCTTCGGATAAGGTTAGTTAGGATGTATGTTAGCAGGGAAAGACGTGGGTAGGGTAGGGAGTGCCAGGCTAGAGCACAACCATCTTTTGGGGTTCTGTGCCATTGGAATGATCACACAGAGCCCAAAAGATGGTTGTGATGCCTTGCCTTGCTATGTATAGTGAGTGGCCAATTGTTTTACATGTCATAATTGTCAAGAGGTTTTTTCTGATTTGCAGGAACTGAGAGATGCTCTTAGTTCACAGTGTTAAGATATTCAACAAACGCAATATGGAGTAATAGTTCCTTCCGAGATGACAAGATACCTGTACGGCTGGAATGGTACCGTAATGCTCAATGATGTTCAATTGGTGAACATTTAATGTTGAGAAACGTTGTATCGCGAATGCAAGCATTCTCGCTTCCCCCTGGCTGCTGAACTGGGCCTCCCTCCCACCACTCTCCTGTCAGATTTATATGACATAGTTGTTGTAGGCTATAGTGGGGTAGCACATATGGGGTACAGGGTTTCTAGGGTTGTATTTGTACCCATCTTTCCTTAGTCATTTTCATCCCTGTTCGTTTATTCTCACATGGTATCAGAGCGGGTCCTTCTACGGACCGGTTTTTTTTTGGGCCCACCGAAGCGCCCCCCCGAGGCGCGATCCTTTTTTTTTTAGCGACCCCTCGGGTCGCCATTTCCCCTGCGGCCCCGCCGCCTTCACTGACGCGGCCCCGCCGCCCTCTCTGTCGCGGCTCGGCCGCCTGCTCTCACGCGGCCCCGCCCCGGCTCCTTCGCGGCCCCGCCGCCTGCTCTCGCGCGGCCCCGCCCCGGCTTCTACGCGGCCCCGCCCCGGCTTTCACGCGGCCCCCGCCGACGGCTTCGTCGCGGCCCCGCCCAGGCCCTTACGCGGCTCCGCCGCCTGCTCTCACGCGGCCCCGCCCCGGCTCCTTCGCGGCCCCGCCGCCTGCTCTCACGCGGCCCCGCCCCGGCTTCTACGCGGCCCCGCCCCGGCTTTCACGCGGCCCCGCCGACGGCTCTGTCACGGCCCCGCCCAGGCCCTTACGCGGCCCCGCCGCCTGCCCCCGTCGCGGCCCGGTCACCTCCTGACGGCCCCGCCGTCCCTTCGTGACGGCCCCGCCGTCCCTTCCTGACGGCCCCGCCGTCCCCTCCTGACGGCTCCTGCCGTCCCCTTCTACCGGCCCCGCAACTGCACCTGCTGGCCCCGCCGCTGCACCTACCGGCCCCCCACCACCCACCCCCCCTTTTCCCGTCGCCCGTCGCGGCTCCTTCGGGGGCCGCAAGCGGCCCCCTCAGGTCGCCTCGACAGGCGACGGGAGAGGCCAGCAGAGGGGTGGCAGGTGTGTGGCCTCCCCTGCTTCTCCTCCTCCTTCATCTCCCACTGCAGCAGCCGAGCCGCTCACCTGCAGCAGCCGAGCCGCCCCACAGCCGAGCCGCCGGGTCGCTTAGCTGCTGAGCTGCAGTTGCTGCCGAGCCGCCCTGCCGCCGAGCCGCCGAGTCCCCGAGCTGCTGAGCTGCAGTTGCTGCTGAGCCGCCTTGCCGCCGAGCCGCCCGAGTCGCCCGAGCCGCCGAGCCGCCGAGCTGCCGAGCCGCTGAGTCGCCGAGCCTACTCTTCCCACCACTGGTGAGCTCTTGCCCTGCTAGCACACTGCGCGTCGCCTGCTTGCCTGCCTGCCTGCCTTTTGGCTTGCCTGGCTGCCTGCCTCCCTGCTGCTAGTCCTGCTCCAACTTCTACTTGCGGAGCCAAATGCAGCCCCAGCGACGCCGGCGTGAGTCCCTCACGCCCCAGCAGCTGCGTGAGTGGTACGCTGGTTGGGGCTGTAGGGGTGGCGACGCTACTCCTACTACCACTCCTGCTGCTTCTACTCGTGGTGGCGGCCAGATGCAGCTCCCGCGACCCTCTCCCGTGTCTCTCACGCCTCGCCAGCTTCGTGAGTGGTACGCTCAGAGTGGAGGGTCTCTCAGTGCTGTTCGCTGCTCGTACGTGATTCGCACTGGTACTCGGACTGGTCAGCCTTGTGGGACACGTAGTCATACACCGTCCCGCTGCTTCGCCCGTCTGAGCGACGCCTGGCGTACCGTGTTTGGCGACGAGGCTGAGCTTCCCGACTGGGTGGAGTTGCTTAGGCAGAGGGTAGATATATATGCTCTTGACTATGATGCTATTCTCACTGCCATGTATGCATTGCCTACTAGTACTGACCGTGCCGGTCACCTGTGCGTCCCGCCTGACCCAGGTATAGGACCTGCTGCTCTAGCTACTGGTGAGGCTGCTGCTCTGGGTGCTAGTGAGTCTCCTGCTCCAGGTACAGGTACGGCTGCTGCTCTAGGTGCTAGTGAGTCTGCTTCCTCAGGTGCGGGTGAGGCTGCGCTCTCAGGTACCGCGTTGGCTTCGGCCTCCCTCACCTTTACACTTGACTCTGGGGCTTCTCGCTCCTTCTTTCGGGACCGCACCACACTCACGCCGCTTGGTCGGCCGGTTGCAGTCTCCCTGGCTGACCCCTCTGGGGGTCCTGTCCTCGCTCACTTCTCCACTGTCCTCCCGTGTCCGGCTGCCCCCTCGGGCACCCTGTCTGGCCTGTACCTCCCCTCGTTCTCGACGAACTTGGTGAGTGGTGCAGACCTACAGGATGCGGGGGTTCACCAGTTCACTCCTGCGAGTCAGCGGGTGACCCACTGCACGGACGCACGCACAGGCCGGCACCTGGCCACGTTCTCGCGTCGGCCGGGGTCGAGCCTCTACACCCTGACCACTGAGTCTCCTCCTGTCCCCGCGTCCGGTCAGGTAGCAGCGTCGGGTCAGGTGTTTGCTGCTGCGTCCAGGTCTGGTCCTGAGTCTGCCCCCTGTACTTGTCGCCTCCTGTCTCACGAGACTCTCCTGTGGCACCACCGTCTTGGCCACCCCTCCTTGCCCCGTCTTCGGAGCATGGCGTCCCGTGTCCTTGTCTCTGGTCTTCCCCAGTCTCTCCCTCCTCTCCCCTCCGGGCCAGGACCTTCCTGTGTCCCTTGTGTCGAGGGTCGCCTCCGGGCTACTCCTCACTCCTCCCACTTCCCCCCGACAGAGGCTCCCCTGCAGACGCTTCACATGGATGTGTGGGGCCCAGCCCCCGTCCGTGGGCAGGGTTACGAGCGCTACTTCCTGTTGGTGGTTGACGACTACTCGCGTTACACCACAGTCTTCCCCTTGCGCAGCAAGGGTGAGGTCACTGTGGTGCTGATCGACTGGATCCGCGAGGCTCGTCTCCAGCTCAGGAAGAGCTTCGGCTCGGACTTTCCTGTTCTGCGTCTGCACTCTGACAGAGGCGGAGAGTTCTCTTCCCGCCTTCTGCGAGACTACTGTCGTGCACGGGGGATCCGCCAGACCTTCACGCTTCCGGACTCACCACAGCAAAATGGGATTGCTGAGCGCCGCATTGGCATGGTCATGGATGTCGCTCGTACGTCCATGATGCATGCGGCTGCCCCCCATTTTCTGTGGCCGTTTGCGGTGAGGTACGCGGCGCATCAGCTCAACCTTCACCCCTGGGTCTCTCGGCCTGCGATGTCCCCAGTCTTGCTGTGGACGGGGAAGGTTGGCGATGCGTCTGTGTTCCGTGTCTGGGGATCTCGGGCGTTTGTCCGCGACTTGTCTGCGGACAAGCTGTCCCCTCGTGCTGCTCCCTGTGTCTTCCTTGGCTTCCCCACTGACGCCCCAGGGTGGCAGTTTTACCACCCCTCCTCTCGTCGTGTTCTGTCCTCCCAGGACGTCACGTTCGATGAGTCAGTCCCCTTCTACCGTCTCTTCCCCTACCGCACTCCTTCCCTCCCCCCTCCCCCGGACTTCCTTGTGCCGGTTCCCCCCCCGGTAGACCCCCTCCCCCCTCAGGTTCCTGCCCCCTCAGGTGTGTCCCAGGTAGACGCCGTTGACCCGGTCGAGGTTACTGGTGACTCTGGTGCTGCTGCGGGTGCTGAGCCTGGGGGTGCTGACTCTGGGGGTGCTGTGCGCGGGGGTGCTGAGCCTGGGGGTGCTACTGCTGGGGGTGCTGGGCCTGAGGGTGCTACTGCGGTGGGTGCGGAGCCTGGGGGTGCTGAGCCGGGGGGTGCTGTGCCTGGAGGTACAGGGTCTGGGGGTGCTGGGTCGGGAGCTGCTGAGCCTGGGGGTGCTGAGCTGGGAGCTGCTGAGCCTGGGGGTGCTGCGTCTGGAGCTGCTGAACCTGGGGTTTCTCCTGCTGCTGCGTCTCGCCGGGAGCCCCTCTCTCCACAGGAGCTGCGCGAGTGGTACGCTCGCCGCTGCATGCGTGCTGCTGAGTCTGG